AAAAAAACCAGGTAAGTTGAACATCAATATTTCTGCAGGAGGAAAACAAATTATTTTAATTGTGTTACTAAAATCTCTTTCTTTCTCTGGTGGTGCTCGATAGAGGAAAGCCCAAGCTGTGGTATAGCTAATCTCATGTTATTGTATCTTTCTTGCTGAATTAATAAATTGGATGGAAAAAAGGAACAGTTAGTACTAACAGACTTATAAGAATTCCCTGAAATCTGATTCTCTATCTTGCAAAGAAAAGAAAAGGCTTTTAGTTTAATTAAACAATTGGTTGGCATTGGAAAAACTGAAAAAAAAAAAACCCCACGTTTTCCTTATATTAAACACTACTCTGAAAAGTTATCTATTTTATTAATGAATCATGAAAATTAAAAGCATGTCTACTTCTAGTAAAAACCACACACACGACAAAGATACTAAAAGTATATCTATTTCATTAATCTGTAAACTGTTGGTGATACTGGTGGAGTGAGGTTAGGGTCAGGGAACTGTGAAGCTGTGGAGGGCTACTTTGTTCTCTTGAAGGATAAATGTATACATTAGGTGAAATCTGTTGCCTAAACAAGAAATCCATTCATACTGCGTTAAGTCCTGTGTGCCTTATATTGGCTCATCTGCAAGCCTCAGGGAGCAGAATAGTGGAAGGAGGAGTCCCTGTGCACTCCCATAGCACAGGCAGGCTGGAGCAGTTGTGAGAAAAGCACTTGGGGAACCATGGATGTCAGATCATAGCTTCTCTGCTTCTGAATTTCACATGCAAGATGTCTGGGGCAAGGCTGGCCCTGTTTCCATGGGGCTCTTTGACTGTAGAGGACTGCATTTCTCTCAACTTTGCATTGTTTTCATGTATTAGGAAACCAGTGAATCAAACCTCATACTAGTTGGCTTCTTTTCAGTTATTCTCTGTAAGGGTTTAAGATCAGTCCCCAAATCAGAGATACTTCTTAAAGAGACACAGTCAAGTAGTTTAGGATTCTGTTTTCTAACTTCTGGAATATAACAGGCATACCGCTTTGAAGGGAGTAGGGGAAAATCGATATATGAAAATAGGTTGGTGTATAAAGATCACTTTCCATGCCTTGCTTCTCTACCTGTGACTTACTATCTCCCAGATAGACTTCTCTAAGTCCCGATGATGTGGTGTAGAAGATGCAGTCGTCAGAATGAAATCACACGCTGACATTTAGGGTGGCACCATCAGAGTGAGCACCACCTAGGGGACAGCTGGGTTTCAACAGTGCATGGAGACTGGAAAGAAAAGAGATTTTTTTATTCTAACTTTAAACTACTATCTAAATCAGATGCTAAGAATTAATGTGTTTGCCCAGTATTCCATGTTAACTTACACAACAAAAGGATGGTTTAAAATATCAGTTGCTGCAGCCGTTGATGTGAATACATTTTTTTTTTAAGTTAGAAACATGAAAGAGGGACATCGACAGAGGAGCACATTTAGAAGAGCAGGGGGAAAGAAAGGAGTTGACAGCTGCTGTGATTCAGGGCATGGCTGAGGGCTGGGGGAAGAGATGGCCAAGGAGCGGCATGAGAGCTGAATTCACATCTTAGAAAACAGCCATGGAGATGAGAGAATGTATTCTTAAATAATACTGCAATGCAAGCCCAGGCCAGAACCACTGGGTGGCACTTGCAAAGAGACAAACTTCAGCTTTTCGTTTCACATAAAGAAAACATTCCAGTACTGGCTGCCTTGGGAGGGTATTTAGCCCTTCCTCACGAGTGCATTCCTAGTGATCTAGGAGTTGAGCTAGAAGCTCCTTATATAAAGAATGCTTTATTGGGGCGCCTGGGTGGCGCAGTCGGTTAAGCGTCCGACTTCAGCCAGGTCACGATCTCACGGTCCGTGAGTTCGAGCCCCGCGTTGGGCTCTGGGCTGATGGCTCAGAGCCTGGAGCCTGTTTCCGATTCTGTGTCTCCCTCTCTCTCTGCCCTTCCCCCGTTCATGCTCTGTCTCTCTCTGTCCCAAAAATAAATAAATGTTTAAAAAAAAAAAAGAATGCTTTATTGTTTACTGGGCTGTTATTATCATCTCCTCATTACGTTGCATACAAGCAAAATCACAAATTCATAACCTCTGACTTGAGAAGTTTATATCTGTGAACCCCAGCTCTCTAGATATAGAGACAAACTTGACCTAGAAGTAGAGGCAAACTTTATGTGTGGCAGATGTTAGGGACAGTTTTGCTTCCCTCACATGAAGCCTGAAAGCTTAGCCATGTGATAGCCTCACGTTTCCCAAGGGTGGGGACTCAGTCTCTGTCCATTGCTGGCATCATTTTAGCTGCAATGTCTGTGAAAAAGCTTAGTTTACTGAGATGGGCTTCTTTTTTTCAGCTTAAAACTGAAAAAGGTATTATTATGGAGGTTTTTGGAATCCTTAAATATTAAGCCATGTATTTCCTTCAACCTGAGTAGAATAGAATTTAATAATAATAATAACAATAATAAAAAATAAAAACTAAGCATCTACCGGCTTGATAAGTTTTTCTGTGTAATGGACAGTATATGTCAGTGAGGACTTGTGCATATAAGATGGGCTGACTGCAGGTCGGGCAGGATGGGCCCTTGTGAAATCAAATGTTGTATATATCTTACGGGGTCACATTCAGTGCAAAGTGTTATCATAAGTGTGGCAGCAGATACCCCCACTAGGCTAGATTTGTGCAAAGTGTTGTGATAAGTGTGGCACCAGATACCCCCACTAGGCTAGATCTTAATACCGAATTAAGTCTCCTTTTTGTGGTGGATGTCAGGGATTGGCTCCCTTGCTCCCATCACTAATTCTTCTTACTGGTTCTGGCTCTGACAAAAAAGTTAAAAACAAAATAAGCCCGTATACGACCCTTTTAGACTTTAAGGGTTTGCTGGAAAATATGGAGAGACTGGAAAAAAAAATAGCACTTGTAGGGAAATTGAGTGGTCTGTCTGTTCACTAGCTAAGCACCAGCACTTTCTTTGTGCGGGGGAGCTGGGTGCAGGGTGGGGGTCAGTGCACCTGTGGTACTGCCCTCCTGGGTCTTCCCATCTGGTGTTACCTGCCTTCCAGAATCCTTGCCTTTGGGCTTCTTTGTTCTGTTGAAAAAGCCTTGTTGGGGTTAGGTTCTGTGTCTTGACTCCATCTGCATTCTTTAGCTTGCCTTTAAAGGAACCAGGAGATGGGGGTGGGGAGCAGAAGGCTGGGCGGAGCCTGAGGCCAGAGCTGTGAAGCCTGGACATGTTTACGTGTGAGCTCCTCAGTCAGCAGGATCATTCACCCCTCTTTACCTGCTCACACCAAGGAGGTCCCCAGCCAAGCAAAGTGGCTTTCTTGCCAAGGGGGAAATTGCCTGGAGGAAAGAACAAATTCTTGTTTGTCCTCAAAAAGGGGGTGGGGGAGGCTTACATTTTTGCCAATAGGCCATGATATTATTCAGGTGACTACTTAGTAGTTTAATAAATAGCTTCTTTCATTTTATCGCCTCCTTCTCATTTCCCACTGCCATTGTGATGGGTGAAATGGTTCTTCCAATGGGAAGCGTCTAGGTTTCCTTTCCTGTGCAGAGGATGCATTCTTTCTTTATACTTCTCTTTTGCGGAAAGCAGTTCCACTCCCCGCTTGTCCCCCTCTATTATTTAGATGTTTAATGAGTGCAAAGGTAGAAGGAATGATTTTCTTACTAGTGCTTCTCCGCCCAGGCTGCACATTAGAATCATTTGGGGGGCTTTACAACATGGCCAAACCTGGCAGACGGAGGTGGGAAGAAGGCACTGGGTATTGCAAGGATTTTGGTTTTTCAAGCTACACGAGATTCCAGTGTGCAGCCGGCATTCAGAACCGGTGCTCTGAATTTTTTTTTTCTTTTTTTTTTTTAATGTTTGTTTTTGAGAAAGAGAGAGAAAGAGCATGAGCAAGGGGAGGGGCAGAGAGAGAGGGAGACAGGCTCTGAAGCAGGCACCAGGCTCTGAGCTCTCAGCACAGAGTCTGATGAGGGGCTCAAACCCATGAACCGTGAGATCATGACCTGAGCCAAAGTTGGATGCTCAACTGACTGAGCCACCAAGTTGCCCCAGTGCTGTGAATTTTTCATTTCCACGTGTTAATAGATTGAGCCAGCTTCCCTCAGAAGCTGTTGTACCCGAGGTGCAAAGCTGGTAGTGAACTTGGACTGGAGTAGGAAGGGCTGAAGGGAAGAGAGCCAAGGAGACCAGTGAGCAGAGACCACAAGCACGGACACCGGAGAGCTTGTCCGAATGTATGATCTTCTGGTCTTGTCAGGGGATCTAGTGCTCTTTGCCAGCCCCATTAGGAGAGGATTCTTTGACAGCTCACTCTGAGTGCTGTACTGGCCTGGTGGTGTCCAGGTAAAAAACTTTCCAGAGGCTCTCCAGGTGCATCTGAAGAGAAGGTGTTATTAAGGTAGATG